AAGGAAAGAGAAACAGAGAGGGGGAGGGGAAGAGAGCCAGAGCGAGAAAAACAGAGAGAGGTAGAGAAAGAAAAGGGAAGGATCAGACAGATGCCACAAACGGAGGAGGAAAAAACCCGTCTCACAGAAACACATCAACATGAACATCTGAAACACAGAACCAGCTCCAGTTCCATGTTCATCAGTACTGATTGATTTCCAGCTCCGTTGTCATGTGTTCACGGCCCCGAGGCCTCAGTCGTGCTCTCCTCTCCGCTGCATCCAGCAGCACAGTACACATAATAAATTGATCAGGTTTTTATCCAGACACACACCTGAATTCAGATGGATATCACTCCACTGCAGACACACCTGAATTCAGATGGATATGACTCCACTGCACCCCAGCCCAGAACCTCCAGCCCAGCACCTCCAGCCCCGACACCTCCCGCCCAGAATCCTCCAGCCCAGAACCACCAGCCCAGAACCTTCAGCCCAGACACCTCCAGCCCAGAACCCCCCAGCCCAGAACCCCCAGCCCAGAATCCTGCAGCCCAGAACCTCCAGCCCAGATCCTCCAGCCCAGAACCCCCAGCCCAGAACCTCCAGCCCAGAATCCTGCAGCCCAGAACCTCCAGCCCAGAATCCTGCAGCCCAGAACCTCCAGCCCAGAATCCTGCAGCCCAGAACCTCCAGCCCAGACACCACCAGCCCAGAACCTCCAGCCCAGAACCTCCAACCCAGACACCTCCAGCCCAGAACCCCCCAGCCCAGAACCCCCAGCCCAGAATCCTGCAGCCCAGAACCTCCAGCCCAGAACCTTCAGCCCAGACACCTCCAGCCCAGACCCTCCAGCCCAGATCCTCCAGCCCAGAACCCCCAGCCCAGAATCCTGCAGCCCAGAACCTCCAGCCCAGACACCTGCGGCCCAGAACCTCCAGCCCAGAACCCTCCAGCCCAGAACCTCCAGCCCAGCTCTTCATTATTGCTGTGGGTTCATCACACATCACGACGATGATGAGTTCCAGGTTCTGACTGTTGGTCGTCCAGAGAGTGCTCCGAGGATAGTGTAACCTTTCATGGTGTCGTTAATGGAGGAGGAGAGTTTTGCCCTGTTGTGCTGTTAGCATGAAAGCATTCCTCCAGTGTGGACAAACAACAGCAGTGACATGAACAGAGTCGTTGTTCTAACCTTTGTGGCCTGTCTTTCTGTCTGCTAACAACAAAGTAGCAGTGTTGAACTTCTCTTTCTTTCTCATTTTATAGTTTAGTGAACTTAATGTTGAAGAAAATTTAAAATCACATATTTAATATTTACTGTGATTCCACTTTTCCACTAAAGGTCCTCCCCTGTGAAGAAGCACGGGGTGGGGGGTGGGAGGGACATGGGGGGTGTTACTCTGTCTGGATTTGATAGACCTGCTGCACGGCTAAGCATGTTGTGGTTGACTAGTTAACTGAGAGTAACTGAGTTAATGTCATGTAAACACAACCAAGTTCCCTCTATTTTTTTTTATCATAATAACAATGATGAGTGGACGGGTGGGTGAGTTAGTGAATAACTAAAACTAAGTCATGTGACAGTAACCATCAACTAAGTCATTAGGAGTCAACACTTTGCTTCAGCAGCAACGATGATCTAAACAACTTCATAGGCGTTCAGTTCACAGTTGACTGGAGGACTGTGACACCAGGACCACATCTGACACACACACACACACACACACACAAACAAAGCAGCATCACACTCACACTCCAGAGGTTGTTCTGCACGGCTGTGACCATCAGGGCCTGGGCTACACATTAGGCCTTTGTGCTTTCAAAAAAAAAAAAAACTCACCCGTCTGTGTTTTTAACCCTGGCTGCAGCACAATGTGCTGACACCAACATCAGCTGTTCTACACCCTTTAGAACCGCCGAGGCTCAGGACCGCGTCAAGGACGGAGAGAAGGACTAAATGTACATGAATCAAAAATAGATCTGTCCATGTTTCTGCAAGTGTGATTGTTTCTTTAAAAACAAGCTGATGTACCGTTGGTTTTTTTTGTTTTTTTTTTCCCCCTCTGCTGAACCTCATTCAGCACATTCACACTGCTGCTGCTGACAATCCACGGATGAACAGCTTATGATCCCCTGAGTAGCATACAGATTGTGTAGTAGCAGCAGTGTAATAGCACAGTATCGACCCACACTCCTAACAATTTCATTCATCGCCGTATAAGTCGACCAAGAGATAAATAAATGTGCAGGTAAACTGGAAGCCAGACATTTCCCAGAATCTCAACCTAATCTGCTGACAGTTTAACACGCTTCGTTGGTGATCCTGAGATTTTTTAAATCTCAGAGGATCATCTTACATTATGTAAAATAAAAACGAGCTCTTCAAATGAACAGTCTGACTCAATTAGGAGACCGCGGTGTCAAACAGAAGTGATTTTTCTGCAGATAATTCACAGCCCCAGCAGCTGCACCGCAGCAGGAACCTGGCCTGGCCTGCAGGGTGAATTCAGGTTTGTGTGTGTGTTGAAAGATGTTGTGCCATGTGACCATTTGAACAATCTGATGATGAGCAGCAGGTGACGGTCTTTGTTGTTTCACTGGGACAATGGGATCCAGACAATTCAGCTTGTCCATCAGTAAGGACGTTTGGAAGATGATCAGAGACATAAAACCGACCAAGCAAACAACTATGACATTCCAAGATAGAGTCGTGGGACTGTCACGACTACACAACAACTACACAACAACCAAAGAACAAGTACAACAACACCTGAACTATGAAATGAATCTCTTTTTTTTCTTGTTTGTCTTGTTCTGCAGAACCATGGAGTCACAGAGGTGAGCAGCAGACAAAGTTGTCTGAGAGCAGGTGATAAATCACAGCGAGCAACGCCGTCGTGACTTTCAGGTTTGCATAACTTTTCATGTTGTATTTTCCTACTGTTGAGCTTTGGTTTGCTGACAGTGAAACAGCACAGTGTCACACTAACTGGTCAATTTGAGTGTTTTGTTGTTTGATACAATTGAAGTAAAAAAACTGTTAGTCACATGACCATGGGACGGCAATACATTTTTAACCGACGATTTTCACCAACCGAGCACCGCTAACAAACCAGGCTCCAGGCAGTGAACATGCACCTCCAGTACTGCAGTACTTGTACATGGTACTTCAACTTCAGCTCGGAGGAAGTGTCTTATTCAGCAGAAACAGAGTCACTCTGAAACAATGTACGTACGATTCTGAATAACCACAATGAAGCCATCAGATGCAGACAAATGGTTTCCTGATGAAACTTCAAAAAGGTCTGACACAGATAGGAGGCAGGAAGTGTTTCACGACGACTGTTTAGATAAACAACCACCTCACACAACAGTTTTTTTGGTTGTTGTTTTTATCATAGGCATTCGACAGTGTTTAGTCCGCCGCTACCTTCTTCTTCAACTTCCTTCTGTTTGTGTTGACTCGGCTACTGTGAGTTGCTGAGCAGTCGCAAGAAGAAGACAATCACAGCTGTTACGATAGACTGACTGAGCACAGGTTTTTTTATTTTTGATTATGAGGTCATCAGAGAGATAAATATTTTAGGTGTCATCATTATAAAGAAGCCTGGAATGTTTATGAACAATAGTCGAGAGAGAGAGAATTTTTTTTTTTTGTCAGAGACGGGCTAAAGAACTTCCGTCAACTGATTACAAGTCTACATTTCAGACACCGACATCTTGAATATTCCTGCATTTGTTTTTTAATTATCCAAAAAAGAAAGCAACAACAATCAGTTACCCATTAGTACTATGATAAATTATGTTAAAGTAATCATATATTCACTGACAAGAGGACCACACTTCGTATCATGCAGAAACAGATGACCTTAAAACAGATGAAGAAACTAGCTTCTACGTGTACACGTACGTGTACATGTACTACACTGATGCTGAGTGGAGCCAATGAAAATGTGCTGTTGTCAAACACTGACAGTTAAATCCTATATATGCTGTTGTCAAACACTGACAGTTAAATGCTTTTTTTTTTTTAATGTATGTATTTGTGGAGGGTGCCGTGTTGTAAAAGAAGCTGAAACTACTCTGCTCTGAGTCAGGTTGAAGCTCTCTCACATCCATCAACAGCCAGTACAGAGATGGAGTGGCCTCATTAGAACAGCAGAGATACCTGTGGCCTCCCAATGATCTCCAGGGTGAGGTGTCACACCCCCTCCCTCCAAACCCCCCAGCACAGGCACAGCAGCAGCAGCCAGGACAGACCACAGGTTATCTGCTGCAGTGCGGGCCAACACTCCGTCTCGGTCTGGTTCGACTGACGGTATCTGAACGTACCGGACGTGTTTTGTGTCCGTTCAACAGAGAAACACACACCGCTCCTCACTCCTCAAACCAACACCGACCCACGTCGTCAGGAGCAGCAGTTAACTTGAGGGCTAAAAACTTTGTTGCAGCCAGGCCTGCAGAGGAGGACACCTCGGTCTGGAGGAGGAGGAGGAGGAGGAGGAGGAGTGTGCGCTGCGTTTGTGTGTTCGTTTGTTTGTTGTGTGTTTGTTTGTGCACTGCTGGGCAGACAGTGTGGCCTGGTGTCGCCCCTCGACTCCTTTATGCCCCTCTTTACTCCGTTCTCTCCATCCCTCCCTCGACGCCATCTGTTTGTGGCACCACAGAACGTGGAAGTAAAAAAAAAAAGCAGACGACATTTTGGCTGTAGTTACTGACCTACATCGAGCATTTGTTTTCGGGGGAAGCCCGACACCGACACACAGCCGTCTGTAGCGCGGCGACAGCGGCGACGTCTCCTCGAACACCATGGCCGCCTACATTTTACAGCCTGGTCGGCATGGATTTGATAAGTTACGGTTAAAACACTTCACCGCCTCCTCCTCCTCCTGCTCCTGGTGCTTCTCCTCCTCCTGCTGCTGCCCTGTCGCTGCCTGCCCGGGCCGGACAAGTCTAAGCGCCGGCAGCGAACATGCGAACACAACCAGCCGAAAAGAAGCGGAAACAGAAAGACAACTCACCTGGTTCCAAAATGGGTTTATGGTGGCGACGTGACGGAGGCGAACGTGAACATGGGAAACACAGTGTAAACTGTGGCTGATGGTGGAGCAGCAGCAGCAGCAGGAGGAGCAGGAAGGAGGGAAGAGGAGCTGACGACGTGAATGAATAAACAAGTCAGCTCCTCCTCAACCGGGGGCACGGGGACTGACTTTCTGTGCAATAATACCGTGGTTTTTATCAATACCTGACCAAACTGAACAGCTCCATGTTCCCGTAGCTTTAACAGCTAAATAATTACTTTTATAATATTATTTAAAAAATACAATTTATCGTTATAATCACAGCTGCTGATAATTATATTTGACGGTCAAAATAAAAACATGTATTTTTTCATAATTAAACGTGTATAAATGTCTTTCATAACTGAAATGGCATTTTCCGTTATTCTTTTCTTTTACTGTAAATTAAAATAATTTCTGTTGTAATGACCAATAATGTCCTGTGGTCGGCGCTGTTAACGCAACTCGACTGCAGGACTTAAATTCCCTATTGACAAAAGTAGGTTATTGGGAATCTTTTCCCGCCGTTCCTGTAGTTCCAGGACAAGAAACATAATTTTTTAGTTACATTTTTGTTTCATCTGAAACAGGTGTGAATAGAAGAACATGGAGTAAAAAGTATTTTGAGGGAATGAAGATTGTCGTATTGTTTACATGTTGGCAATGTTTTTGCTGCATTGTTTTATGTGATTTGTTTTCAAACAGTTGGCGAATAAGACGGAAGTGAAAGTAACGACGTTTAAATGGACGGTATAATGGAGTATAATGGGTTGCTGTGACTGGCTAGTTTGTGTCGTTTTATTGCCACCTAGTGGATTAGTACGTAACGACATGGAGGCTTCCTATTGCACACAGTCATAACAATACATATCGTTGAGTTTGAAGTAACTTCCTTTCTCTGTTTCACTGTACTTGAAGATGTGAACCTCAGAGAATCTGGAAACTTCTGTTAGCTTTATGGCTTTGAAAATGTAATTTGGACTCGGTATTACGACAATTTACGACAACATTTATGGCCTTTCTTGAGTACGGGATGGGGAGGAGGAGGGAGAAGGGGGGGCAAATGGACAGGTGTAAATCAGTTTGGAGGTTCCTGTCCTCTGTGGCTATAAGAACGGACTTCTGTCGGACAGACAAACGACACATCTGCGTCATCATTATGAGACTAATACGGCGCCCGTCAAAGGACCTGCGAAAATAGATAAATATATCATATATATATTTTTTTATCATAACTTCATATCGTCAAGTCAGGTTCGGCAGTATTTTTGCAATGCTTTATTTTCAAAGCTCTCTTATGGAAGCTGCCAGTTTTATGAATGACATTGTCTTTGATGTCTTGTTTTGTTGTTTTTTTTAAATTACGTTCTAAATGTTTTTATGTTCAGTTCAAGAGTAATCTCGTCTTTATGGCAGTAAAGTTTCATAGATTTATTCAGACAAACACTCAGGTAATGATAACACGGTAGAATGAAACAAGAGTATTTTAATTTTTTTATGTAAATTGTCAAAAGTTTATGAACCTGAACTTTATGATAGTTATATTTTTAAATCCTAACTCATTATGTTGATAAATGTTTATTTTATCTTTATTTTTTAATAATATACCTAGTTTTTAAAGCGGCACACGTAAACAAATCCGACACTAGAGGGCACTATTGTTCCACCAAGTGTTACTAACCGTAAACGCCTCTCCACTCCTTACTATTGTTCCACCAAGTGTTACTAACCATAAACGCCTCTCCACTCCTCAGTTCCCAAGATGTTTCTTTTAAAATGTTGCTTCTCGGTCCAGTATCTCTGCTCAGAAAAAGACACCATCATGTTGTTACTTTTTCCAACAGTTCCAGGTTCCAGATAATAAGAACCAGTCACTGATTATTGAAGTACTGAAACAGCAGACACTGAGTTATGACTTATGTTCCTCCATATTTGAAACAAACCTTTGCGTCTGTCATTGACTTTTGTGTCAGCAGAAAAAAAAAGTGCTGCTGAAGTGAACAACCGTAGCAGTGATGCTGGGACTCTGGATAAGCCCCTCCTTCTTTTTCCAGAGCAGTGCATTAAAATTCTGGTCTCATAGCGACGGCTCCTCGTGATACGGCTCCATGACAGGATGTCAGTGGATGCTTTCTGTCCTGCAGTCAATGTACGCTGCACTGGATTCTCTGCTTCAAAGCAGCTTTAAAATGTAGTTTCTGTGGGAGGTTGATGAAGCGGCGAGGCCCGTCTCTGTGCCGCGGCCGTCTAGACCATGATTACCATCTGTTCCATTGATTTAGATGGTCCACTGGTTACTGCCTTCTCGCCCTCTATCTGCCTGCTTCCTTTACAGACACGCACCAAGAACACAGTCTTTCCTTCTTATGTCTTTAGAGTTCAGTGGAGTTGATAAAGGATGATGTTTTCACTGTTAGCTCAGAAGTTGTTTGATACGTTCAGAGTTTATGGCTGCATTGATTTCCATGATTAGAAACACATTGAACTATGATTCATCAGAAGCAGAGATTCTTTTCTTAAAGGAGGGGCAGAGAGAGAGAGAGAGAGAGAGAGAGAGAGTCTGTTCCTGTGATCAAGTAGAGTTTCCCGTCCAGAAGCACATTTAATAGCTAATAACGATGATGTCATTGCGAAGCCAGTTGAATAACAGGTTACTGATGGTGACCGCGGGGTCCACATGAGGAAATACTTGATGGTTTTCCTCAGTTCACTTTGATTAGTGTGTGATTTAAAAATTACAAACCCAAGGCCTCGCAACCACATGAAGTCACAGCTTCATGGCTGTTAACGCTGTTCCAAAAACCAAAAACCTCAGAGTGAGATAAATAATTAAAATTACAGTAATAATTCTGATCCAGGTCCTACAGAATAAATATTATATATATATAGATGCTCTCCCTTTATAGACATCTTTATATTTTATAATGATGATCGTGTTCATCCCATGAACCCACGTAAACACACAGATTGTTGATGATCTGCAGTGAATAGGTTTTAATGTAACTCTGAATATTAGGCTCTCTATAAGTGGCTTTGATGTGATGACCTTTGACCTGTGCAGGCTCAGGGGTCAGATGTCCACTGGGACTCTGTCCAACTTGAAGTTGTTGAAGGTACAGGTATCGTGTTGTGGTCAGTGCACAATAGTGAGATTTCAGAGCTAGCGTGCTAAGCTAACACAGTCAGATAAGTATAATATGAGTGAATAGTAGTTGCAGGTTTTGGTATCTAAGGACCAGTGCATTCAGACTGTTCAAACTACACTGTACCTTTAAATAATGCCAACAGTTATTCATTGACAGTATCAAATGTCAGTGTGTGTTTACAGTACACTCTACTGAAATTACACACAGAAACCGTAGCAAACAAACACTCACTCCATGAGTGGAAGAGTGAGTGGAAGTGGAAGAGCTAAAAACACAACATGAGTGGACGCTGACCAGATGTCTCTCCCCGTTCACTCCACAGAGTGTTGTGTGAGGGTGTAACAGTCTTACCTCATCTGTCTCTGACAGGCCGGGCGTGTTAGGGCACAGGAGCCTCACGCCTTCAAACTCAAAACAAATCCTCAAAACCAGACCCTTCTGTCAAGGAAATGTCTTGTCGTGACGCAGCTCTAAAACACACGTGTTTGGAGCCCACAGCCTGTAGGAACACGTGACTGAAGTAAAGTCTACGTG